TATAACTTAAGGTCCCATTCAGGGGCCACATTTCTCCGTCTTCTAATTTATACAATGGCCATTCATGATTACAAAATTCAGTAAGTTGACTTTTGCTTAATTCATCATGCATCTCTTTCCAGTGAGCTAAAAGGCAACCTAAGGGAGTGTTTCTTGGTATAGAACTCTTACTCCCTCTCCCTTCTTTAAACCGGTTTGAAAATTAAATGCCATAGTAAACCGACCGTATACATTTTTTTTCTTTTTTTCTTTTTTTTTTTTTTTTTTGTTGTTGCGTCCTTTTGCTTCGCTTATCTCCAGCTGCACCCCTCGTGGGATAACAGAACCGCGGATCAAAGCTCCACACTCGCTTTGTGCGTAATTACACGTCTCATTCACTCATAAAACCTCAACAGTGTTTCATTGTTTCCTATATTACCAAAGTTACAAAGTTACAAGATTCAGAAGCACAGAAACAAATTACAGAATATGAAAAATACAATTTCCCGTATCAAGACCAGAAAGTACAGATGTGAACACCGAAGTGTTCCTGACCAGATGTATACCAGTGAGGCGCTAGCAACCCTGGTATACGCTGTTCCACGCAAGATCCCACGTCTCACAATTTATGCACAGCCCAGACTCTCTTCTAATAATCCTTGCCTTACTCCTCGCAGTGACTCAATTAAGATAAGGAGTCCCTCCGGGGAAGTTCCCGGGAGCGCCCAAGACAGTCCTATTCTCAGGGAGTCCCGTGGGCCCCGCTCCTTTAAATCCCTTTCACCACTGACACTGACGCCAACCCCGCTCCGTATTCGCCTTACGGGCGGCGCCGAGGCTTCCACTGCTCGGGAATTCCCTAGCCCCAACCACGCGGAACTGTCACTCCGTTTGACAGGCAGGCTTTCCACAGATTCAGAAAGAAGTGCCTTACCTTTCCAGGGGACATTGCGAGGAGCTTTATGGGTCGAGAACGATGGCTTTCCCCAAGAATTCCTCGGTGCCGGCTGGAGTTCGATCAGCGCTCGATCCCGTCCAGTCTCACTCGCAAGGTCCCACCTGGGTCGCCAAATCTGTTAGCGGTCGCAATCGTGGAAGAACTTATCAACACACAGCAGATAAGCTGGCACTTCTTTATTCCAGCGCTGGGGAACTCGGGGGATAGCTCCACCAAAGACGTGTTCATCAACAGATACAAAACAGCACATATTTATACACTTTTTCAGCAGAGTCATGGTTACATAGTCATTTTAACTCAAGATGCGTAATCAGTACCCATTGTTTTGATTCAGAGTCCATAACAATTCCTGTAGTGATTAAGGCAAACACCATACTAGTTATCTGTTCCTAAGGGCCTCAACATACCTTATATTGTCACAGCTGCTATAACTCCATTTTAAATCGAGGTTATTTTTTTTAAACTAAAATCGAAATAATATTCTAGGATTCAAACTATATTATTAAGGTATTTGCAACAGTGCTGTATTTGTTTGGTTAGCTTTCTGCTATTTGAGCACGTTAAGCTGGCTCATGAAGCGGCCAGCATGTGCTAGTAGATATTAAGCAGTGGGTACATGTGGCCAGGAGAGGAGGAACAGTGATTGGAGGTGCCTTTGAGAGTGTTGAGCTGTTAAGCATAGAACAGAATATTTCAGTCAGAAGGGACCTACAGCAATCACCTAGTGCAACTGCCTGACCACTTCAGGGCAGACCAAAAGTTAAAGCACGCCATTTCGGGCACTGTCCAAATGCCTCTTAAACACTGACAGGCCTGATGCATCGACCGCCTCTCTAGGAAGCCTGTGCCAGTGTTTGACCACCCTCTCGGTAAAGAAACGCTTCCTGATGTCCAGTCTGAGCCTCCCCTGGCGCTGCTTTGAGCCATCCCCATGTGTCCTGTCACTGGGTACCAGGGAGAAGAGCTCAGCACCTCCCTCTCCGTGTCCTCTCCTCAGGAAGCTGTAGGGAGCAGTGAGGTTGCCCCTCAGCCTCCTTTTCTCCAGATCCAGACAAATCCAAAGCCCTCAGCCGCTCCCCACAGGACGGGCCTTCCAGCCCTCTCCCCAGCTTTGTTGCCCTCCTCTGGATCCATTTAAGACCATTAACACCCCTAAACGGTGGGGCCCAGCACCGCACCCAGCACGCCGGGTGAGGCCGCACCAAGGCTGAGCACAGCGGGACAGGCACCGCTTTTGCCCGGCCGGTGATGCCGCGTCTGATGCACCCCGGGGTGGGCTTTGCCCCCAGAGTTGCCAATGAAATATGTAACTTTTTTCAAAAGCAGCTCAGATCACCCTGCTTTATATCTGAGGTACTCTGTTCCTGCAGTTACCACAAAGCAGCTAGTGCCCAGTGACAAATGGGGTAGCCTGGTGTAGTTTAACCGCATCAGACTAGTCAGAGACATGTTTAAGCATGTTCCAGTGTGGTGAACTCACTGTTCAGTGCAGTTCTTATATAGTTTTATTATTTGAAATGTTTATTCATGTTCCAAGTGAAGAAAGTAAGTATTGTTTCTGGAGAAGGGTGACACGTACATTGTACAGTTGCACTTAACGTTGCACTGGTGGAGTTTGCAGTCCCTGGGGACATGGGTCAGGTGAAGAGTAAAGTCAGGACCCTGGATTTTAGGAAATCCCTGAGGGCAGGGACAAGGGAGCAGAACAGAGCTGGCAGATCTTCAGGGGCACTTCCCATAGATTGCAGGAGCTGTTGATCCCTAGGTGTAAGAAATCAGGAAAGGAAGGCAGGAGGCCAGGATGGATGAGTCAAGACCTGGTCAAACCAAATAGCAAGAAGGAAATGCACATGCGGTGGGGGCAGGTGCAGGTATCGTGGGAAGAGCAGAGGGATGTTGCCTGGTTGTGTAGGGATGGATTCAGAAAGGCCAAGGTGCAGTGGGAGCTGAACTTGGCAAGGGATATAAAGAATAGTAAGAAGGGCTTCTGTAGGCATGTCAGGCAGAAAGTGAAGCCCACCCTCTCCAATGAACACAACTGCAAAACTGGTAACAATGGAAAAGGACAAGGCTGAGGTATTCAACAATCTTGCTTCAGACTTTACTGGCAATCTCTGCTCCCACAGCTCTCGAGTGAATGGACCTTGAGCAGGTACTGAGGGAGCAAAGTACCTCCCACTGTTACACATGAGATTTGAGACCACTTGAGGAACCAGAACATGCTTAATTGTGTGGGACCCGATGAGTTGTGTTCCAGAGTCCTGAGGGAATTGGCTAATGTAGTTGCCAAGTCACTCTCCATCATATTTGAAAAATCATGGCAGTCAAGTGAAGTCGCCAGATACTGGAGAAAGGGAAACATTACACCCATTTTCAGAAAGGGTAGAAAGGAGAACCCTGGGAGCTACTGACCTGTCAGCCTGCCCTCTGTGCCTGGGAAGGGTTGTGGAACAGATCCTCCTAGAAGCTATGCTAAGGCTAATGGGGACTGGGTGGTGATTCAAGACAGCCAGCATGATTTCACCAAGGGAAGTCCTGCCTGACCAACCTCATGGCCTTCTCTGATGGACTGACTACATCAGTGGATAAGGGAAGAGCTACAGATGTCATCTAGCTGGACTTCTGTAAGTCCTTGACACAGTTCCCTACAACATCCTTCTCTCTTAACTGGAGAGAGTTGGATTTGATGGATGGACTGTTCAGTGGATGAGGAGTTGGTTGGATGGTCACATGCAGAGAGTAGTGATTGATGACTCAAGGACCAGATGGAGATAGATGTCAAGTGGTGTCCCCCAGGTGTCTGCATTGGGACCAGCACTGTTTAATATCTTCATCAATGCCATAGACAGTGGGATTGAGCGCACCCTCAGCAAGTTTGCGGATGACACCAAGCTGTGTGGTGCAGTTGACATACCTGAGGGAAGGGATGCCACCCAGAGGGACCTGGATGAGCTCAAGAAGTGTGCTTGTGTGACCCTTATGAAGTTGAGCAAGGCCAAATGGAAGGTCCTGCACATGGGTTGGGGCAAGCCTCTGTATCAATAACAGCTGGGGGATGAAGGGATTGAGAACAGCCCTGCAGAGAAGGACTTTGGGGTACTGGTGGATGAAAAGCTGGACATGAGCTGGCATTGTGTGTGCACAGCCTAGGAAGTCAACCGTGTCCTGGGCTGCATCAAGAGAAGTGTGTTCAGCAGGTTGAGGGAGGGGATTCTGCCCCTCTGCTCCGCTCTGGTGAGACCCCCCCCTGCAGTGCTGGGTCCAGCTCTGGGGTCCTCAGCACAGGAAAGACATGGAGCTGTTGGAGTGGGTCCAAAGGAGGGCCATAAAGATAATCAGAGGGATGGAACACCTCTCCTATGAAGGCTGAGAGAGTTGGGGTTGTTCAGCCTGGAGAAGAGAAGGCTCTGGGGGGACCTTACAGTGGCCTTCCAGTGCTTAAAGGAGGCTTATAAGAAAGATGGGGACAAACTTTTTAGCAGGGCCTGTAGCAACAGGACAAAGCGTAATGGTTTTAATTTAAAAGACAGTGGATTTAGACTAGATATAAGGAAGAAATTATTTCCTGTGAGGGTGGTGAGGCACTGGCCCAGGTTGCCCAGAGCAGCTGTGGCTGCCCCCTCCCTGGAAGGGTTCCAGGCCAGGCTGGACGGGGCTTTGAGCAACCTGGTCTAGTGGAGGGTGTCCCTGCCCGTGGCAGGGGGGTTGGAACTAGGTGATCTTTAAGGTCCTTTCCAACCCAGTTCTGTGATTCTAGTTCCCTCAATGTTTCCAGCTCCCACAGTAGGCAGCTTTAGTCTTTAACATTTGTAGCTTGTTTTTAAACTACAAAAGACAAGTGTTTACATTTAGGTTTTCATGCCTATGCCATGCTACTTTGTTTTGACTATGACTTGGTTTTATTTTACTAGTTTTGAGAATGAAGAGCTATTATTACATGTAGAAGTCACTTTGTACTGCACTGGTGTCTAAAAGTGAAAATGCTGAATTTAAGGAAATAAATGTGAATTGTAAAATAATTGCAGAAATTCCTCTCTTTTCATCTCTTTCCTTTCTCTTACAGGCAGAAATTTTTCAGGAATTTGCTGTTCAGGAGGAATCAGTGACATTCCGGATCAATTTGTCTGTTCTTCTCGACTGCTTGACCATTTTTGGTACCAGTTCTTTGCCAGGTATGATACATATTTACCTTGACAGTGTATGTGTATTGTGTAATCACACAGTGAAACCTGTACATAGCTACAGGGAGATTTCCAGTCTTGGCAAAACTTCTAACTTCCTCACCTTAAGTCCTTCTGAGCATGGCATCTATCACTGTGAAGCAGGATGCATCCTGTTTACTTAAGCCCATACAAGTGTGTGCTGTGCTGTCGGTTGATGGAGAGAAGAAAGGAGCTGATGGATGTGACCATAGCCAGTGTGTCAGGGACTGCTGCAGCAGGAGAGGCTAAAAGTGGCTGATTGAGTTTGGAAGATGGAATAAAGGTGTATGTGTGATGCTCTTGGGGTAACTGAGAAACAGAGGAGTCTTTCAGTGAAGATAAAGTTTCCAGGATCTGTGTAATGCACAAAAGAACCACGTGTTTTGGGAGAGAACCCTTTTGTGGCACGAGGTCCAATGAACAGCCCCAACTTGTATCCTTGCTCTGGTTTGGGGCTGAAGATCTCAAATAGTTTCTGTAACCTTGATAAGAAAACACGTCAAGTAATTTGCTCAGGCATCTCTGGCAAGTTGGGTGATGTTTAGGCTGGAGTTCTGACTCTAAGGCCAGTGTTCTACCTTAGGACTGATACACACTGGGACTGCCTTTCCAGTTGATCTGCTTTCAGTCCAGGGCCCAGATAGATTATTCACATCACACAAACGCTAGTTTGTTCCCAAGTGCCCTTCACTTAAGGGGAAATCCTAGGTACAGCTGGCAGAATAGTTCCTCTGCAGCCTATTCAGGGTAGTCAGTATGGATGTGGAGAGCACCAGAGTTCCCTCTACTAGGGACAATGCTTCACGCTGTCACATACTTCTAAGTGGCCAACGGGGCAGGCTGCACATACCCTCAGTATCAGGCTAAAAGCTTGCTTGGGCAAGCTGGAGCAGCCTCTTTTCAGAGCTTTCACTTTGAGCTGAAAAAGCACGAAATCTGTCAGTACCTCTTAAGGCCACAAGGGATCCACATTGGGCTTACAGGGGACTCGAGCTGACTCACTGCTGTGAACTGTAGCAGAAGTCAGCACACTGAGAGACAGCATAGACATACCTGGGAATTTGTCTTGCTAATAAAAAATTTTGTATCAACTCAATAATAAATGTGATCTCTTTCTAATATTTCTGTGGCTTGTGCAGCCCCGGAACATCCAGCTACCTCAGAAATATTAACAAGCATATGCATAAGTTAGGAAATGTTCTGGTGCAGATTTACTGGGCTTGAAGAAGTCTGCAGGGGTTCCAGGTAGCACCATCAGTTCACTGTGCTCCTGTTTCCAATGCAATAGCTGTTACGTGGCACCTTCAGTTCCATCCCTTCTTCAGGATATGCCTGCATCTGTTTTGTGAGTATTATCTCCAGCTTGCAGATAAGGTATGGTACTTACCTAATGTCTCACAAGAAATATGCAGCTGGATTGGGTAGTGCTTCAGGTGCTGTAAGAGCACTTTAGACCTTGCTTATCAAGTTTGTGAATTACAAAAATCAAGTGGACTGTACTAATGAGCCTGTTTGTAGTCTTTTCAGTGACAGAGGCATGTGGGAAGCTGCTTTCATAATTATATATACTAATATTGAATTACATGAACCCATCTGTTTAAACAAAAAGCACCTATGTCTTAGTGAATTTTATTTCCTACAAATTAATTTTTAAATTTTCTTTTTACTTGATGGTTGTTAAAAAAATATTTTCACAAGCAAGAATAACTACAAGTCAGCATGACTGTATGGGTGCTACAGGATGCATTGTGTACTCATGTGGAGTAGACTGATACCATGACAGTTTTTTTAGGCAGTTCCACCATTGCAGCTTTCTGTTGAACTCTGCATTTCTCTGCTGTTCTGTCGTAACTCTGGCCTAAAGACCTAAATCAATTGCACTAAACAGCACTCTGATTCTGGGAAACCAAACATTCAGATTATGATTGCCTAGCAAAAGGAGGATGTGACTGTAATGCAAGCTAAGTTGTATTAACTTCAGTTTGGGTTGCACAGGTAACAAGAGTAGTAAAGAAAGGTGACGTGAGCCAGAGAGAGCTTCAGGACCACTGAGGATTTTCCAATTCCACTAAACTATTTGTAGCATATCCAGCTTCACTGTCACAGCTAGTGTTATCCGTTTGGTACATGACACGAGTTAGACTTTTTATTCACTTTGCTTCATAATTCTTAGCACTTGTTAGCACACACTTAGGGTGTCTAGGAGGCTAGACTAAGCATGATACTTTAGTGTATTGGAGGCTGGACCAAACATGCTAAATCAAATTGATCTGTGCCCCATATGCCAGTAAAATTCAAATTTTCTAAAGTGATCAGATATGCTAACTAGCTTTCTGAAGAATGTATATTTCATTCTCTTTTTCAGGAACATCAACGGCCCTTAGGATGTGTTATCGTGGTTACGGTTATCCTTTGATGCTGTTCTTGGAAGAAGGAGGAGTAGTGACAGTGTGCAAAATTAACACTCAAGAACCTGATCAGCTGTTAGCCTTTGATTTCTGCAGTACAAAGGTTGTTAATAAAATTATCCTGCAGTCGGAGGGGCTACGAGAAGCATTTGCTGAACTGGATATGACCAGTGAAGTTCTGCAGATTACCATGTCTCCAGATAAACCCTACTTCAGGTACTAGAAACTATGCTTTCAACTCAGATGTTCATGATTGGCCTCCATTGGTAAGGACTGGAAGTTTCAGGGTGAAGATGGGGGAGCCATTTTAGAATATTGCTTTATTTCAAGAATAATTGTAATGAGTACAACAAATCACAAAATGCAATCTAATTGACATAGTAATGAATATATTGTCAACCCGGTAAATGTGACAATGATGTGGACAATTTAGCATTTTTATTTAAGTAAAGCCAAACATACTACAGTGTTTTATGAAACAGCCGTTGAGATATGCAAGATGACCGATTCTGATGAGTTTTTGGAGAGCTGTGATCAGGTATTTTCAGATGGTGCCTTTTGTCTTCCAGGTTATCAACTTTTGGAAATGCAGGAAGTGCACATCTGGACTACCCTAGGGATTCTGATTTGATGGAAGCATTCCATTGTAACCAGACCCAGACAAACAGGTTAGGAACTCTGTGATCAGTGCCCTATGTGGCAGGTCATGCATTCTTGCTGGAAGGTTTAAAAAACTTTTTGCATTACTGTAACATTTATTTCACAAGTAGGGGTGGAAAAAGAATACTTCCCGTCTGATAAAAGTCTGTGTCTGTGATCAAAAGCTAAGCGATAACAACGTGTGTCCAATATTGTTACCAGGAAAAGATCAAATTAGCATGTTCCTAACTGCTTTTTAGTTATTCTGTGGATTTAATTTGGAGTAATGTTTCATCTCCTCTCTGCACAATATAATTTTTTGAGATGACTTTTTTTCTCCCCTCTGCAGGTACAAGATTTCTTTGCTTAAGCCATCTACAAAGGCATTGGCTTTATCTTGTAAAGTGTCCATTCGCACAGATGCTCAAGGATTTCTTTCACTGCAGTATATGATTAGGAATGAAGATGGACAGATCTGTTTTGTGGAATACTATTGTTGCCCCGATGAGGATATTACTGAAGCAGAAATGTAGGTGTATATTATGGCATCTGTTTTATAGTTATGTACATATATATAATACTGTATTTTTTTTATAAAACTGAATGAAAGCTGTAAAGTTTGATAGATTTTTATGTTGTAATTTTTTTTTGAACTCTGGAATTAGAAATACAAAGACTTCCTTCTTATTCCCTTGCAAACATTTCTTAGCCCTGACTCAAAAAGCTAAGATGAAAAAGCAAAAGGGGAGTTGATCTCTGATAGCCACTGATTCCAGCACAGATGTTAAAGTGGTGTTCGTGTAATATGTTGCTGCTTTATAAAGTGTTCTTCAATATTTTTGAGTTTTGTTGTTTATCAGATGTTGAGATGCTGCTTTGCACATGTGGAAAACAGTATGTTCATACGTTATGAAGTTGATTGCTCCACAGTTCAACAGAATTCAAGTCCTTTGGGTTTATTTTAAGTTTAAAAAGCTTTTGTTGACCATTTTTCACCTCCTGCTTATGTCAGCAAGAGTATACTTTCAGCGTACACAGTGTTAACAGTTCACTTTTGTTGTCTTCTGTTGCAATAAATACATTTGACAAACAGTGACAAATCTTCAAACTACAGGACTGATAAAGATACCTAATAATATTCTAAATTACTCTTAATTACTGTTTGTTTTGTTTTTTTCCAGACTTAGGTATTCAGTATAGGCGAATTTCTTTTTGGCTTATTGTCTCTATTTCTTCAGTGAAAAAAAAATTCATGTTCTCATTGGGAATGATTAATATTATCCCTGACTACTGAAGTGTTAAGAATGATTTACATAATCTCTGGGTGACAGGATAAAAATGAAACAGAACACATCACTTAATATGATTTATTTGGGAGTAACAAAGTTCCTTGTATTGTGTTCAAGGACATTACTGTGGCTTAACATTTGTACTTTTATATAATTGCCTACAGATGTGCTATATTACTTCTTAAAATAGTACTTTTAACATTTTCTTCTATAATCTACCAACAGTGATCATGGAAATAATATCCTGAGAAGTTAGAACACCACAAAATACCATAAAGCAACCATTGCATTCCATAGATAATAGCTATCACAGACATGCATGATTTATCATCTGTGCAAGACTTAACATCTGTACCCCAGCGGGACTAAGTTGGGGCCTAGACTCACAGAGGTGTGGAGGTGCTTGTGCACCTTGTACCTTTGTGGATATGGTTCTAGGTGAACAAAAACATGGGAAGTCTGGGCTACAAAGTCCTTGCAGGAAGGCAAGGAGTGGGTTTAGGATCCACTTATGATAGATTCTATTACATCTCTGCCTTCCAACACAGTAAAATAAAAAGCGTGGAGAGGAGAATGACTGGAAGGCTGCTGTGCATCTTTTTGACTCGGTAAATTCCTTAAATTCTGCAAACCTCCACTGTTGGATTAAATCTAATTTCCTACCACACCTTGCATGAGATCCAGAACTTGGATGACAGTACCTTTAGTATGTTTTGTCTCTACTTGACAAGTCTCCCCTTGCAGGCAAGGGAAAACCTTTAGTAGAAGAAACATGTAGTTCATATTTTTTCCATTTTCACAGGCTGATCTGGTCATGACTTAGATTTTGCCCATCTGCTTTCTTATAAAATGGTACATGTAAGTACTCAGAATTACTGGTGATGTAAATGAAAAAAAGAGTTCCTGGAGGTGGGAGCTGGAACCAGCATTTTTCAGCCAGGTTCAATATAGCTGTAGTAGGTGCTGCCTGGCTGCTCTGATTTACTGCATTTGGGGCTCTGGGCAACCCAGATTGAGAGGCCACAAAACTGACAAGTGACTTTTCTTCCAGTTATTTTGATTTGTGCTTTTCAGTGTAAGAACTGACCTCAAGAAGGCACCTCTTTTTATTCTACCACTACAACTACCAGTAGGCCTTGGGTTCCATCAGTCTGCTAAGGTACTGAAAGCCAAAATAATGACTGACTCCTGGTCCTGTCAATCTTTATGCAACAAAACACCAATGTTGCTGGTGCTAATGTTACCTCTAACCTCCCAACACATTGAGAAGTTCTTGTGTTTCTCTGGTTTTCACATATTGAGGCCCATCTACAACCATTTAGATCTGTAAAGACTGTTGAGCACAAACTTCTTCAAAATTGCATTCTATACCTCTGTTTCAGAGTTAGTCATGGGAAAGAATCAGTTGTTTAATTTCATATAGATTTATAAGGAAATACATGCTTGTATTCTCAACTGGATGGGTCATCAGTGAGGTCAACAGAGTAGCTGGAAAATTTGAGATAAGCCACATGCTGTTTCCTGTAGGTGTCTGTTTTGAACTTCATTTTGTATCAGCTTGTAAAGCTAAGAATCGAGCAGGTGGGTCTTAGCAAAATAAATATGTAGAAATTGTATAAATAATTATAGTAAGCACTATACTATAGTAACACTAAATAATTACAGTAAGCACTGAAAGAGTGCTTTTGCTGATAGAACACTAACATTAAACTGAACAAATGTGGAATTATTTTAAAAATGGAGCTGTTACAGAGTAGAGGCTTGATGCCTTCCCGTTGAGACAGAAATTAATTTTTACATTAATCTGTTTTTGAGGGGGGTGCAGGACTGCGTAGGTATAAATGGCAGCTAAGGGCCACAACAGGCTCCTTCAGCCTCTTTCTACCCTGCTTCCCTCCTTAGCCAGGCTCAAACAACTAACAGGGTAGTGCATTAACCCTGCTAAATCTAATTGTAAGGGCTCTGCAAGGGAGCGAGTGTTGCATGGAAATGTAATCAGGCATCCACACAGCTCTAATCTCTTTGCAGAGTTAATAGTGACAAGTGGGCTTGAATATCCACCATGAATGTGAATGTCATTCTATGCAAGTATTCTGGAGAAATATACCCGAAGGAAATCTAGAATGGCCTGAACTGCACAACAAAGAAATCTAGGAAAAACTCCACTTTTGTTACACCACTGACAACCTGCCCCCGCAGAGAGACAGTGGGAATATCACGCCCTCCATAGCAACAGCACACAGCAGCATGTGGTGAGTTTGGGTCAGCACTTTGGCAGTCCCCTGACACCCCACTCATTTATTCTGCAGATCAAAACCCCAGTGGGCCACTGGTCAGAAAGTAGACATTAAACTTGCTGCTTTGGTGGTTGGCTCTTACAGATGAGCGGGGCGGGGAGGGGGGGGCAGGTAAGGTGCGGGTGGAGTGGGCATGTTGGGTTTTCTAGTCTGGTACGAGGCTGTGGGAAAGGGATGATGAAAGTTCTCCCTGCGGAATTTAGCAGCCTCCTACCCTTCCAGCTCAGATGGGACTGTGGGGTTGACCAGAAATGAGCAAGCCAACAGAAAGCGAGAGGCCTCAATGTATGTCCTATATTTATCTAGTTAGATAACAAATTATCTGTATATAGGTGTGGATTTTACCCCATAAATGCCAGTAGAGTGCAGCAACGGATTTGCAACACTGAGGGAGGCGTGAAGCCACTCCACCAGTCAGGCAGTAACTGCAGGGGGTTTGCAGCAACACCAGGCTGCAATGCCTCTGTCTGCTTGAAAACCAGACGCTGCCGAAGGAGCCAGGCTCCTAAGATTTCGTACACAGCTCAGAGCAGCCCAGCAATAAGGGGAGCAAGCATTTTAGTGCAAAGCTGCTCCCTGAACCCCAGCAGTGCAGGCTGAGGGCCCTGGTGCCAGCACCCAGACTATCCCTGCTCCTGCAGGTGTTCCCGGGCATGGAGCAGCCGGTTTACACTGCGGAAACCACCTTGCAAGATGCAGGGCCACCTGCAGGGAGGAGTGAGATGATCCAGAGCTGTGCCGAGCAGTTAGTTGAAAAAACTGCAGTCTGACCTCAGCCGACCCATCTCAACCAGTGTAATGATAGGGGTGGTCTTGTTCCAGCCTCTGAGAATATTCCCGGCTGCTTTTAAAGGTGTAACCTGATGAATCACCAAGAGCACATTCCTTCTCCCAGCAGTTTTACAACAAGATGTTTACCTCAACGGAGAGCCCGATTTTTCTTAAAAGCTGCCGTCAGATGGCTGGAGAGATTCTCCAGATAAACTCGAGGCATGAAACAGTTCCCAGAGGAGCTGGGGTAAGCCCAGGCTGTTACCTGCTCACAGCAGTGGGGAGCGTGTCCCCTCAGGCGACCACTCTGTGGAGGTGACCAAGGGTCCTGGAGAGGCAAGGACTGCACAGAGCTGCTCAAAGGCAGCCGGCGTAGCTGCACGCCCTCCTCTTCCATGCTACAACCCAGATGGGTTGATCATGCACAGCTTTGATTAGGCAGATATTTGCAAGGGGGGACACTGCCAGAGACCCATCAGGCAAAGCATCCGCAGAGGGAACTTTGCCAGCCTACCCCTTGCCAGTTGTTGGATGGTGATGTGATTTCTTTATGTGGCAGCAAGGACAGGAATTTTAGAAATGCTGTGGATACCACGCAGCCACCCTCTGGCAGTGCAGGGCCTCAGAACAGTCCTGTTCACACACCCTGACCCCAAACCCTCCGCGCCACATGCTGCGGCAGACAAGGCAGTACCGGGGAGCACTCTGTCCTTCCCCCAGGCACAGGGACCCTTCTACCCCCCTGCTGGGACCTTCCAGCAGACATGCAGCTCTGCAACATCTGCATGGGCATGTCTGCACCTAGATCTGCAACATCTGGCCAGCTGTGCTCACCCCCATCTGCAGCCCCACCAGCTGCTGAATGTAGTGCTGCTTCTTTGGGAGCTGCACTTCGAATAGCAAGAGCCCCAGGAGCTATTTCTAGGAATGGGGCAGCGCAGACTTTCATGCTTTGTGTCTTTACTCTCCGCACTGTTTTCCAGCTGCAAGGGAGGCTCTAAGGAGAAGGAATACCAGGTTAAACTCTCTGTCCCTCCCTAACTGTTTGGGTTTTTTTGGTTTGTTTTTTTTTTTTTTTTTCCTTTTTTGATCTGGAAAATGCAGCTTAATCCAGCTCTGCCTTGCTCTCCAGCCTCTTCTTTGGGGGATGCCTTCTGGTAGGCAGCAAAGTGCTTACAGAGAAGCAAATGCATCCAAACATTTTTGGACAGGGCTTCTGAGTGTGCATCAGAGTGCAGGACTGTTGCTGCTCTAGGACAGAGGATGGAGGAAGAGCCTATGTCCACACCTAGTCATCACTGAGGAGCGTTTTGGCTAATCCGGAGGGGAAGAGTGACCACACAGGAGTGTCAGCTTCCCCTGTGAGCATGTTTGTGTTTTGGTGCAGGCCTGCTTGCCTCCTGAGAGCCACTGGACACAAGGTACCAGCTGCAGCATCGCTCCCAGGCAGGGTTAACAGCTCACCATGAGTGTGCAGGGCCCGGCTGGGCAGGCAGGAGCAGACGGCCGCCCGCCAGGACGCAGGGAGATGGGCTCCAGCCTGGAGCTCCATGCAGGGGATGATGTCACGGAGATGTGCCTGTTTCCAATCTCCAGCTGCTGGTAGGAGGCCCCATTACCAACCGTCTGAGCATTTCAGGCTGCTGGAAAATGTACAAGGAGGGCCAACACTGCAAATCTGGACAGATCAGCATGCAAGCAGGCTTTTAAAATAATAGACTGAAAAATGGATGATTGTG